AACCCTAGAAAACAGCTGACATTTTGCATCGCCACTACTGGTTTCCCTGTGAAATGACGCCTTTAGTGAGGAACTCGAGTTTAGAGATTCCATACTGATGAAGTGTCTACCAACAACCAGGAGCCCATAACCCAGAACTCGGGTGGTGCTTCTGAGTGGTTGAAGCAAATTTCCCTCACAGCAGGACCAATCAAAAGCATTACCCAGATCTGGGTAGTGACACGTCATCATGCATGGAATTTCTGCGCTCGTTTCTCAGACGTCATTTTGCGGGGAAACCAGTGGTGGCCAACCTCGTCCCCAGGGCGCTTTTCCCTGGCTTTGGAGGTGGGCGGGAAAAGCGCCCTGGGGACGAGGTTGCAGTGGTGGCATCACGAAATGTCGGCTGTTTTCGATGGCTATCTACGAAAGTGTTGCTTACCGATAAACACCTACTTATATTCCCTAAACAGAGAATTGTCAGTTTGTTTATACCCCGAAATAAAGTTGTTTGCGCAGTTTCCTAGCTTTATACAATAGGTTAAGAGAATTTCAATTAGAGCGAGACTGTCGGCTCCAAAGGATTAATTGGTTTTGGGTTGATGTTGCCGTAAGCAAAGACATGCGAAACCTAAAACAAGTTTTTCAACTTAATGTAGAGTTAAATTCAACGATAAGAGAAAACGAAATAAGGTTTACTGAGACGACGCCCTGCTGAAATGTTGAACAGGCCAATTTCGTGTCATGTCTTTCTCTCCCCTAGAAAACAAAAAAGACACACACACGAAAGCTTTGCTTAAAGAAAATTATCCTTCGTGTCGAAAGACATCGTCAAGTATGAACATTTTTATCCCACTATCTTGTAAGCTTTTCATGAATTGTTTAAATAAAAAACTCTAAAACTTAGGACTCTACAGAATCGAGTTCAAAGCAGATTTAAATATTTCATGTTAACGTAATTTTGTTTGATTTCCTCTATCAAGCGAAATAATATGACACAATTACTTTTTTCTCAGCCAATTAAGTTACAAAATACAACCGGTGGGGAAAATATACAAGTTAAAAAGTAAAAACAACCCTGGTTACAAAAAGAACCCTATTTATTCCGATAAACCAATTTCACCCCTTTCGTTTAATATTTCTAAGTCATAAATTGCTAATTAAAGCCACATTTCAATCCCATTGACGCTTTAATTCCATTGGTCCGCTGGCGACAAGATTTACTGAGTAGATTTCCCCTTTGACATATTCGCGTATTAAATTTTGTCTTGATCAATGAATTTCCGTCCATGATGTTTTGTAATTTCATTTATCAAGTAATAAGTCGTCAATTCGTTTCTCCCTTTTACAATTGCAGATAATTGAGTGGCGACAAAACTGCGGTTTGCTCAGTTAGCGCAGATTGCCGCGTTATGTGATCTTTCTCGCTTGGTAACTTAACTCAGCGTCTCACTTTGCATTTGCCAGATAACATCGTTTTCATCAGAAGACGGAACAGAGGACAACATGAAGTTTTACTTGATTCACTTATTGACAGTGTGTCAAGTTTTGCTTGAGGTAAGCTGTATTTGAATTGAACACTTTTTATCCTTTGCATTTCGACTACTTTTCATTTCTCTTGAAATGTATCTACTAGATAGTCCCGAGTTTTCCAAAACCCAGTTATTCGAGTTTTTATTGTGGAAACTGCAAAAAACTATTTTCATGATGATAAGATATGACTTAAATTTCAGTTTTTTTAGATTTTATATCAAAACTGTTATTTTATATGTTGATGCGATATGGTTGCTTTTTTATACCACAATATTTGCAAATTTCTTACTAAATCAGCAGTCGTTAATTGGAATATTTCAAATGATCACAAATTTGAATCTATCGTCTTTTCAGTTCAGTTCATCAAACGTTTTTTTCATGTATTATGACTTGACTTTGTTAATCAAATTCAATAGAAACTGCCCGTCTCTATTTCTGTGTGCTTTGTCCAAAATCGTGCCTATGACAAAAGGTTACATAGTCATTTGCTGCGTGGGAAAAATTTTCAGTAACAATTCTCCACTCCATAATCTGGCTTTTTTATGAATAAAGCCTAATTGTTTTGGTATTTAGTCGAAAATTTTAGAAACTTAAGGATGATTTGTCGGGTGAAGAATTGCGAAATACGATTATCAGCGCTTTGCATAACACACTACACATTCAGTTTCTCAACCTGAGATTTTGTGCTGGCTGACAGCGAATCAGAATCAAAAACTAAAAGCAAATTTCGAAGTTAATCTCATCAAGTCAGTTTATTGAAGGCTATTTTGATCTTAAAAAGATTAGTTTTTCACAGTGCCTTTCCTTGCTCAAGAGTCTATAAGTTTTCGATCCTAAATTTTCGCAGAAACGGAATTTGTTATTTTGGTAAAGTTTAAGTGTATCTTTTCATCAAAGAAAAATCGTAAAATGGGTAGAACTGAGATAATTGCTACTGTGTGTATAGTTATGCCGTATGATGAAGACTGGGCGAAGGTAGAGTCGAATAAGGAGCCCTAGATCCTGTGAACGTGCAAGTTTAATCTGACAAGTGAGGAGATGCCGTAGGATGCAACCTGCTTACTCCTGTGAACACACTTTATTTCAGTTGTAAACTATGGAAACATAACTTTAACTGTTCAGTCTGTAACTGGCTAAATTCTCCGACGCGACCATTCAAATGAAATCTTTTCGAGGTTATTTTCGCATGGAGCTTTGTCTAGTTATCAGTGAGTGGTTCTCAATGTTTTAGCAAAACGAAATTTGTAATTTAAGAAAAGTAACAATTTTTCTAAGAATCTACTTTTGAGCAGAAAACAACCAATCTGGCCATAAAATGATTTAAGGCTCTATAGAGTATCCAAGAAATTTAAACGGTCGTGAGGATTGCAATAATATGTGATCGAGCCAGCTTTACCAAATGCAATACGCCAGTTCAGGCCAGGGGATGTTGTACTATAGTTTTGCATCAAGGTAATCAAAACCTTAACTTTCTTTAGGTCTGTCAAAAGGGTTCCCTTTGATTTTCAGCTTTGTAACATTGTGTCAGAAAGGTGTTCTGTTTTTGCAAGGTGTCAATTAATTTCTAATGAATAAGGATAGTTATAATCATATTTACTGCTTTTTTGTTTGTCCAGGAAGCTAGAATAGATGAAAAATTATCCAATTTTAGTCAGATAATTTGGCTTTTGAAACAGATAGATAAATGGTTAGGAAACGAAAACAGCCATTGTTTTCACAAGCACGTAACTTTCTGAACTTTGTTCGTACAGTGTAATATTGTTTACATTGAAGATTAAGCTAAGATACGAACTAATACTGAGATATTTTAAGCTCTAGTGATTTACAAGGGTTTTTTTTTCTGTTCCACTTTATGATCTCATTATACCAACCTAATAATTGTTATATCAAAATTTAGTAAGTTTTATTAAAAGAAAGACTGATTGGAGAAGCTTGTACAGCAATTTATAAAGCTTTGACAGGCATGTGATGGCCATCTGTCTCCTGAAAGCATTTTGCAAGATTTATTTGTTTGTAAAAACTGGATTTGCCTCCGGATTTTCCGATTTTTATCTTTATAAAGACCGCCTTCATGATCATTCTTTTTGTCACTTTCCTCTTTTTTTTTTTCTGTTTTGTTTTCTTTCTTCGCGAAAACGTCTTCGTGAATTATTACCTTGCCTCAGTATTTTTATTTTATCATCATTATTTATTTTTGATAGCGATCTTTTTCTTTTTCTTTGTTTTAGACGCTGGCATTCTCTTCAACCAAGACAATTTATTTACCCCCAGAATCAGCCGGTATGTAACTATCGAGTGATCAATACGAACTGAATTTTGCAACAGTCAGTCACAACAGTCAATCAACAGTCAGTCACAACACCAATGACGTGCAGTGACTTCAGTTAATAATAATTTTAATAATTGTTTTAAATAATTTTACTTTATATATTGCGCAAAAATATACTGTGGATATGACCTAATGTTTTTTACATTAAAAACTTAACTAAAAGAAATAGAAAACGAATTATGAAATGCAAAAGTAAAATATGACTAGTATAAAATTGAACTCAGAGGGTCACGAGTTCGATTCTCACCTGAAGTTCGGAATTTTTTCTGAGCTTTCTCGAATCAGAATTATTCTTCTTTCAAATTATGTTGTACAGTCTTGGTCTTGTACGCTGGTGAACGGCCGATTTCGAGCAAGTCCCCGATACAGTCTTGTATGACTGGTGTGGTTATAATGAAATTCCGACCCTGCTCGCCATAGAGTCTCCAGTGGCTGAGTGCAATTTCTTCTGAACTCTCCGGTATCAGAATTCTCCTTCTTCCAATTTAAAATATAAAAACTCTACAAAATATTGAGTGAGTTACAGTCTAGTTAGTATTTATGATTTATTTGATTTTTTCTCACGAGTAACCGAATTACAATCGATGCTAGCGCTAAAAATAACATGAAAACGCCTATCTAAAAAATGGCTTCTGAAAAGAGTCTTAAAAGAATTAAATACACGGCTGCACGAACATAATATTTTTCAAGCGAAGAGAAATTTCATTTCCCCAAGTGGCCATGTAATGTTCTATTTATCATTATTTCAAAAACTCATTAATTATTAATATTCAGATGGCATATTGTCCAATTAACTTCGCAGATTAAGTCACATGTAAGGACCTTTATACCCTATAAAACTATGCAAACTGAAAATTCAGGGGAGGGGAGGGCTTTGAATTCAGCCTCAGGAGTCGGGAAGATCAGACTTGTGTAGCCTCTGTAGTTGGAGACAAAGTTTTGAAATCGCTAAGTAAAAAAATTATACTTAGATGCACGTGGATCAAGCAAATCAACCCCAACTCATAAGATTTTGAAACGACATCTAGTTATCTATTTGAATCATGCTACTGATTTTGTTGTTTCCATTATTCGTTATTGATTCACGTCCGGGATTTACACCATATCACCGTGATTTGATCTGATTTGTTAGGGTTACAAAAACACTATTAACCAATGGATGTGTTTTCTCCTTTTAGATGAATTGCATTTGGGTTGTTACGAAGAACAAAAGAACAAATCAAGTTTCTACCAGCCAGACCAAAATGGATTGTCTCTGTATTGGTGCATCGAAGTCTGCGGATATGAGAAGTTTCCGCTGGCTGCAGTGTTTAACGACACAAACTGCCATTGCGCAGATGAGAGCGTAACTCTCCTGATCAAAAATGATTCTTGCAACTCATCTGAAGAACGAAAAATTTTCCAGATGTACAACACCAGTTGTTTTATGGTAGAGCTTGTAGAACTGTATCAAGAACTGATATTTGAACAGTTTCCTTCAAAGATAACACCATTACTATCCTCGAGCACATCTTCCGTCACGCTTTCCATACCATCAAGCGTCACGACGTTAAATTTGTCAGATTCTATCCAAGATTCCGAGAAATTTACACGGTTTTCTTCAAAGATAACGCCATCGCTGTTCTCTAGTATATCTTCCGTCACACTTTCCATACCATCAAGCGTCACGGAGTTAAATTTGTCAGATCCTATCCAATATTCAGAGAAATTTACACGGTTTTCTTCAAAGATAACGCCATCGCTGGTCTCAAGAATATCGTCCGTCACACTTTCCATGCCATCAAGCGTCACGACGTTAAATTTGACAGATCCCATCCAATATTCCGAGAAATTTACACAGTTTTCTTCATTGATGACGCCATCACTATTCTCTGGTATATCTTCCGTCACACTTTCCATACCATCAAGCGTCACGACGTTAAATTTGTCAGATCCCATCCAATATTCCGAGAAATTTACACAGTTTTCTTCAAAGATGACGCCATCACTATCCTCTGGTATATCTTCCGTCACGCTTTCCATACCATCAAGCGTCACGACGTTAAATTTGTCAGATCCCATCCAATATTCCGAGAAATTTTCACAGTTTTCTTCAAAGATGACGCCATCACTATCCTCTGGTATATCTTCCGTCACGCTTTCCATGCCATCAAGCGTCACGACGTTAAATTTGTCAGATCCCATCCAATATTCCGAGAAATTTACACAGTTTTCTTCAAAGATGACGCCATCACTATCCTCTGGTATATCTTCCGTCACGCTTTCCATACCATCAAGCGTCACGTCGTTAAATTTGTCAGATCCCATCCAATATTCAGAGAAATTTACACGGTTTACTTCAAAGATAACGCCATCACTATTCGCTAGTAAATTTTCCGTCACGCTTTCCGTACCATCAAGTGTCACAACGTTAAATTTGTCAAATCCCATCCAATATTCAGAGAAATCTACACGGTTTTCTTCAATGATGACGCCATTACTATTCTCCAGTGTATCTTCCATCACGCCTTCTACACCATTGAGCGTGACACCGCCAGATTCCATCCTATATTCAGTGGATTTTGGTGATGGAACAGCTAACAGTTCCCAGCAGGGTGGGTTTATGTTTACTCATCGTTATGCCACAACGGGTGTATTCAACCTCACTTTAACTGCGTCCCGACATAACTGGACGATCTTTAATTTAACCCGAATGATCCGAGTAATATCCCGTCTTCAGCTAACTGGTATGGAATGTCCCGACGCTGTAAGACCTTGGAGACGAAGCGGGTGTACTCTGGATGGCTTCCGTGGTAGTGACGTCTTAGCGCTGGTAACATTGAAAGGCAATACGAGCCAAAACATAACCATTTCAGGTATGTTGACGCTTTCCATTTATTTGTTACTCTGAACTGAATCTCCACGCATACGCTAGTTTCACTTTTATTGGAACACTATAGTTACTGGGAAGGACAGTAATCTATCTCTTAAAAGGAGTCTAAAACGTTGTCAGCATAGACCAGTTCTTGCATGCATTACGAAGAGACCAGGAATATTACTATCCGCCCCCTGCCTTGCCAGAGAGTGCTATCCCATCTTATGGCTAACAACTAGAGATGATAATGGGACAGTCATTGCTTAGCCAACAAATCACGGGAGGAAGACCTCCTGCCCTAAAAATAACCTGAGAGAAATTCTTATGTCCCAGAAGCTAGACTAGGTGTGGCCCCTCCTTCTCATCATTCTCTCTTAGTAACGTGTATGATTTCAGCTCAGAGGCCGAGGCTTAGGCCTTGATCCTACGGTCAGGGTGTTATAGGTTCTTCCACCACCAAATCGAATTTATTAATTGTAGCTGGCGATCGGCCTTCTGGGGGATAGTGATATACTCCCCAGTATAGTTGCTTGAAGCCGCTAAAACGAGGATATAAGCCCCGGCCATGTAAAATAGTTGGCAGCGACGTGCGCCTTACTCATGCGAAGCGTCTAGTGGGCTGGCAGAAGGAAGGCTATACTGACCATTGTCGTCACCATTCGTCACTACTTTTAAAGAAAGCCTGACAAATCTTCAGCCACTTTACGATTAGGAAAAAAAGTGAGCCCTAGATTAAATAAAAATAAAAATAAAGGAAACAAATAACCCCAAATTTCTTAATCTGTGTAGATGTGCCAAGAATTACTTTGGAAACTGAGGAGGGACGTCCAGTTACGAACAAAACCGATTTTAACGGTACTTTGCCTGGAACATTTATTCTGCCATCGCTGGAGTTCTTAGCAGAAACTTCACTCGAAGCATGGGAATTACACGCCGAGGATCCAGGCCCCATTAAGCTACAGGTAAGGGATTGATTTCGTCGTTTATTCAGGCGCCCTCTGGTGTACTCTACAAACCAGGGTCAGCCAGGAGGGGTAGTAGTACACCATTGTACCTTTCGCGTCCCCAGAGCATGTCATTTCTTTTGGTCACGTGGTCAAACGGTAATGGGTCGGTAATTACAAATTAGGCCAAGTTGCTCTGGGGACGAGAATGCCAATGTACACAAAATAATTTAGCCAATATACCAACGTGCTCCTATATTTTTTTCAATGTATCCGAACCTAAAGGAAACGTAATATACCTTATTATGCACGAATTCACTTGTTTTCAAAAAAGATACCGTATTCCCAATTCTAAGAAAAAGGTCCTGCACCTTATTGTCCAAACCCAGGCTGATCCTGACAAACATCAGACACCTAAAAAAGCCTTATTTTACTTGAATAATTAAAGAGTAGCGTATGGAAGATGAAATTTCTTCCTATCACAGAAATAACTTCAATCTACAGCAATAAGAACTGATCTGTCAATGGCTATCTTTTTTTTCTATTTAGATCATTCGAACACTGTAACACAAGTTAACGATGAACGAACGAAGGTCTTTTTTATCTTCGTTTTGTAGGTTTACCGGGCAGATTGGAACACAACAAACTGCACATTGAGCTGTCACCCGCAACGTACCTGCGCTCCATCCACTGGTCACTGTGGTCAAGTATGCATCCACGTTAAGTACTACCAGCGGCCGGTACCTATCAGCTCATGCGCACACAAAACCGGAAACTATATCAAAGTTTATTCAATGGATGTCAACCTTACCGTGGGGTATAACTTAATAGTGGTACCGGAAGAAGATAGATTTATTGCCCGAGCAGGGGACGTTGCGGGATTCAGGCGAAACACATCCGGTGCTGCGCTTCAAAGAACTACCGCTGAACAGACTTCAGGAGCATACTATTCACCAGTTCACAATGCTTCTGGCGTAGGTGCACATCTTGAAAGTATGGTGCATCTTAACATCTCTTTTAGAATGAAGTTGCATGGCTCGGTCAGAGTTCACGCCAAACTGACTGTTTCCTGTTTCTCAGCGGTTGGCATATATCCTCTATTGGTGACATTTGTGAGCGCTATTCCCATGGGAAACAACACCAAAGCAATCGCGTTTCAATCCACCATTGTAGTGCAGACCGCAATGACCAAAATACTAGTTAACCACTCAAAGTTCGTTGTAGTGAACACAACCAGAAATATGACAGCGAATGTTTTGTCAGGCACAAATGTTACTTGCGAATGGAACATTCCTAATGCAAGTTTCTTGGAACAGCAATCTCGTCATTTAGCAGAAGATAACACAACGGAGGGTGCATTTTGCCACTTCCAGTTTCATTTTTCACATGTTGGCTACTTTCCTGTTACCCTGAGAGCGTTTAACCTTGTCTCGAATGAAATAAGAATCCTTCACGTACTCGTGCGCGAGATTATCCGAGGACTTAAGGTTGAGATGTGCTACAGCTCTTTTGCTTTTGACAACGCGCGCACGTGCTACAACTCAAGCGTGGAAACTGGTACCGACGTAGGATGCTCGTGGTATTTCAATCCTCCTAGAGACTATATTGAAAAGGCCATTGGGAAGATAATCTTTCGAAGACTAACTCCAGTTGGAAACAGAAGCTTCACACTGTATTGCTACAATAAAGTTCCACAACTACATTCTACAAAGTCTGTCAGTGTTACAGTCAAGGTTGTCGAAAATCCACTATCTATCGAAGCTCCACAAATTGTTTCAACTGACGCACTGGTTAAAATTACCTGCCAAATAAAGTGGCCTGGATCGTCGCCTGCCTCGTTTTTTGCAAAGCACGGTTTGACAGGAAAGAAGGGAACTGACATAGTGGCGGCCCCGAATTTGACCTTACAAGTATATTCAGTCAAAAACACGAGTGTACGCTATGTGGTTTTATACAAACGCTTCAGGATGAGACAAATGCACACTGTAAAGTGTATTGCAAAAAATCATCCGGATTTAAACACGTTTCACCAGATAAATGCAATCCATTCTATTACAGGAATCGACGTTATTTCTTCATGCAACTCAAGCATAGAGATTGGTACCGGATGCCGTTTTGAAGCTCAAATGTCTCGCGGGGACTCGCCAAAATACGGTTGGACTGTTGCTGAAGGAAACGCTCGTGTCTATGAGTACAGCGGTCGAACGATTAACCATCAGTTTAGAAGCGTAGGTTGTGCAAACATTACTGTTAATATTAGCAATGATATATCGTTTAATTCCAAAGCGATTTCATTTGTCGTTTATTCACCCTCCTCTTATGCATCATCCGTGGGAACATCTCAGCCACTCACTTCTATTACGCCTTCGAACGCATTTCCAAGTTCAGTTGTGGTAACACCAATCCATTCATCCAGATTCGCCAGTCAGATCAGTTCTACGAGCCAAAAAAGTTTCTCCAGGTATCCGTTCCCCGCTACAACAGCTAGCGTTTCATTTTCCATCCCATCCTTGCAAAATGTGAAACTTCATCATGCCTCCAGCGGACTTGTTGGACAAGCGATCAATTTTTCTGTTAGCAACGTGGAGATGGCACACTCGTTGCGTTTTTCATGGAACTGGGACGATCAATCGTCGACTGAGGAAGGAGGTGCAGTCATGACGCACAGGTTTATTACACCGGGTCAATATTTTGTTTGCGTGAACATTTCTTCTGGAATTGATCGTGTTGTGCTGTGCGGTCACGTGACCGTTCAGCATCCTATCAAAGGCTTACAGATCAGAAACATAGCTGTTGGCTCGGAAAAGACATTAATCCTGGAGTTCGAAATTTTACAAGGGACAAATGTGACTTATTCGGTGGATTATGGTGACAATTCCGGTAAGTAAAGAATGACAAACAAACGCCTGCTATGGCTGCGGTCGCTACACTAATGCTGCGACAAATTTTAAAATTTCTTTTCCTTTTGATGGCTCAGAACGTTTGAGCTTCATTTTCAGTAAGTCAGTAAGAAAACATGCCAAACAGAGATACGAGCGGAGAAGCCACGAGACACAAGAAGCAAGGGTAGTAGCCCAGGTAGAAAATATAAATGTCTCTTTTTTTGCTCTAACAGTCTCGCTTTGCCATTTTCTATTCTCGCGCGTTTCGTTCCGCGTTCTCTTCTTGTGGCACGGTGTGGACCAAAAAACAAACTGATAATTCTATTGAATCGGGCTCATTTTTTTGTTTGCTAAATGTAATCAAAGGATCATTTACGCAATCATTTAGGCCTTTTGCCAATCCATGTAGCTTCTGCGTATCAAAGCTGACATTTGTGTTGGAGGTGTCGTCGATTTTAACAATATCTCAGTATTAGCTCAGTCGGTAGAGCGCTTGACTGCAGAGAGGGACGTCACGGGTTTGATTCTCGGGGCCGGACCAATACTCAGGGTCTTAAAAATGCTGAGAAATGAAGGCGCTTCATTTGCCTTGTAAGCGGCTACATCTTCGCGGCGTGGCTCGGATGACCACGTAAAATGGCGGTTCCTTCTCAAGTAGGACACGTAAAAATTAGTGTCCCAATTGGTACTTTCGTGCTAAATACATTGATACTTAAATAAAGTGCATTTCAATTTCTTTCAGCAGTACAAGAGGGATTTTTGTCGTCGTTACCCAGAGTAATAAGAGTGAGGCATCAGTACGGCGAGCCCGGTACATACACCTTGTCCATATCAGCCAAAAGTATGGTCAGTCCCAATACCTTTGTGCCTTCTAGGACCTTTAACATCATGAACACTCCTTGCGTCGTAAACGAGCTACGCATGCTCGCAGTTGGAGAGAATAGCAGCGATTGTCCTGAAGTACCACAAGAGTACGAGTACTCAATTTATTCCTCGCTGCAAATAAACTGTAGTGGTGTTGAAGAAATTAAGTATGAATGGAAGGTTCAGCAACTGCTAAATGACTCCACTACTGCTTCTGTTCCATTCCACAACCAACCTCTTTCCTCCGATGTTCTGTTTCTCCCCGCAAAATCCCTGAGAGGAGGTCTGTATAAATTTACTCTCATGGTCATAGCAATGCCTATTGGGATATCAAAAACTGCAACTGGATTTCTGCGGGTGCGTTTGCCAAAGCTGCTGGCCAGTATAGACTGTGGGAGCGAGAGAGTAATGTCTTGGGATAAAGAAGTTGTTCTCAACGGGTCTGCATCACATGATCCAAACGAAAACGACGACAGCAAAGCTAACTCATCTCTCATCTTTGAATGGTTTTGTTATTCAAGTGGAAACATTTCTTGTTTTAAAAGACCAATTGATAACAAGCAGCCCGTGTTGATTTTTTCTCCAAATAGACTTGATTTCAATAAAACTTATCACTTCGTTTTATCAGTAACAAAAGGATCAAGACGAGCTACGACAGTGCAGACTATTAAGTTTTTGGCTGGAAGCTTTCCACCTCTTTGTGTCAGGTTAGTGCCATTACAGGAACGGGGGAACATTTTTCCGGTTGGTGGGCTGCCTAGTGACCTGAAGTGGAGCGGGCGGGGGGAGGCTGAGGACACTTCCCTCTTAGTAAGTCTCATTACTTTCGGTGGAGGTGGGCTCCCAGCTCCCCCCGGTTCCCACCATCCCTGCATTAATAAACGTTTTAAAACTATTATTTAGGCCTTTAGTTAAACTGAAAAGAACATCAAATGAAAAAAGAAACTCTTTTAATAACTTTCCTCTAACACAGGTGCAAGGAAAATTGCGCCTACAAGTTGAGGACTTCTGAAGAATTGGTTCTTACCAGTGAAGGTTGTTATGACAACAAAACCCAGGACACAAAAACGTGCAAATGGGAACTGCATGGACCTCGACCATCATCGAACGGAATCTCCAGACGGTCCGTGGACTCAGAAGTAATCAGCATTTCGTATTCAAACCAGTTTAAGTTGGATCCAAGCGACCTTATTCCAAACCAAACGTACACGATCGTTTTCAACAATCTGAACAGCGGATTTTCGGCCCAGTACTCGTTAACTACCGACGCGCCTCCGACCGGTGGATCGTGCAGCGTATCACCTTCGGAAGGCGTCGCAATTGAAACGCAGTTCCGAATTAGCTGCCAAGGATGGACAGACGAAGACAGCCCTCTATGGTACGAATATTTCTTTAAGCATCCCACATACGGATCCATGCTGCTCTTCTATGGTTGGATGCCCTTCACAAATGACTTGTTTCTTCCACCTGGATTGGAAAAACACAACTTCAACTTGGAGTTATTCGTGAAAATAACGGATGTTCTAGGATCGTATGCGGTATTTTCCCTTCAAGCTAAGGTAATTAGATTGTATCGCCTTGTTCTGTAGTCTCAAGTGTCTACACAGCACAATTTCGACATCAAAATTTGTGTCTTATGTCATTCACATATTGTCAGATCAGAAAACTGTTAAAGTTCAGGTTTAGGCATTATGAACCTTTTGATCTGAGAACAATCACGATTACAAACAAATAGGCTCTAGGTTTCAGTAATATTCCTAGCTTTTGATACGCAGTAACAATTTCTAGCAATTGTTCAAGTTTCGAACATCTATTGCACAACTCAGTAAAAAATCACTGCGAATAACGTTGAGCCCTTCTTTTTAGTTCAGTTTCTCAATGTCCTATACATGGCTATCAAATGTGCCAAGCTCTGGGAAAATATGGGTAGTAAATCCTTTCCAAGGAAATTACCTTAATGACGACAGCTGAACAAAGCAAGTATCTCTGAGAATATTTCTAATTTGTTATGTTCACTGCTTTGTTGCAGGTCAGAAGTTTTAACTCTGATGCAGGGTCTGTTAGTTCCAATTTGAGAAAAATAGTCAGCGGTCCTCATTCCAAGCTAGAAAAACTTCTAGCCACGAGAGAATTTCGTCAAGCAACCCAATTAATGTCGACAGTTGTAACTATGCTAAATCGAGAGTCTATTCATGCCACTGATTCCCTGGATACCGAAAATCGTGTGGAGGTTTGTACTATATAGAGGAGAATTTCGAGAGAATTTCGTCAAGCAACCCAATTAATGTCGACAGTTGTAACTATGCTAAATCGAGAGTCTATTCATGCCACTGATTCCCTGGATACCGAAAATCGTGTGGAGGTTTGTACTATATAGAAGAGAAGTGTGACGTCACGTTACCATGGTAGCAAAATTTCTGGATCTCAACGAACGTTCTTGACAGAGACGGCAAGGAAGAAAAGTATAGGCAACCGTTTTCTTCCTGAATGCAATCATGCAGAGGAAAGTTATACTGGTCGATTTTTTTTTCTGCCATATTTGCAGGACCACGGTTTGTTGAGTTTCGAAAATTTTGCTACCGAGGCAACTTGACGTAATGACTCTTCTCTATTGACCAAAATTTCACACGACGTCATTCTGATCTAGAAAGGTCACGTAGCCAATGGGAACTCACTCTACATGATCGTAACTATATCTTGAATAAACGAATTATTCCGTAGCGTCCTTTTGAAACCATGAAGACACCATGCCCATACCTTCGGATGAGCATTTTTATATTTGATCTTTTACCCCTCCACTCCTAGAGCGAATGATGAATTCTTAACTCATTTGTCTATTGCATATTCTGTTATCTTAGTAGTACAGTGTGCATGTTTTGGGCCCCCTTTTAGGTAGGAATCTTATGAACGAAGGCATGAATATATTTAACGTCGATGACTTAATAGGCTTCCGAATAAAACGTATGCCACTAAATATCACTGAATTCTAAAATACCTTACTATGCAAGTTTTATTTTGCCGCACTACTTGATCATGGTTCCGGTTCATTGATTCTCAGTAGTAAAACCTAAAAGAATACTATCCACAAGAGAATTTTCTAATTTCTCACTCACCAATGTCCTCCTCTTCCGTTTCCTCCGAAAATGCCTTTGTTTTTTTCCTTCTGCTCCCTACACACGCGTCTTATACTGCTTACGTTGCATTGTAGGTCCGGAGCAGAGTAATCCAGTGGCTATCTAGCATAAGTTCTAGCAGCCCCCACGGTATTAGGCAAGCTTTAGAAGGACTTTTACCGGGCATCAGTGTATCCAAGGAACTCTCACCCGACTCGATGGTAAGTAACTTGCAACCTTCGAGGGCTCATGGATCTCAATTTTGCACGAGAGAGTCTCGTCGTGGGCCATATCTCTGTAGCATCGCAGCCTATGACAAAATTATGTACAGCCCATTGAACACAATCATATAAATTTAACCTTTGATTGGATTCCGCGCATTGGAATACCTAATCTCACCTTAAAGAGAGGACTTCACTGATGCCCTTTTTTTATTATATTGCTGAATGCGGGAATGGGCAAGATGAAGCGAATCCTACGTGATTGGTTACTCGAGCAGGCAAGATGGACCCATCTTGCGCGCCCGGTATTTCTCGCGTTAATCGCGCAAGAAAAAGTTCTCTCTTTTGGCCATATGATCAATCCCTTACTGACCAAGCCTGTTGGGTCAAGATGGCTGGATATTGACCTTGTTCTTTTTTGAATGATAACTCAGATAAGAACTTAGCCAATATCTAGCCACCTTTACCGCACGTTTGGTCAATAACACATATGTATCCATAATACCTTAGGCATGCGTGTCGGCCCTACATCGATATGCATATACGCAGTTCATGCGAGAACGATTTTGTCCTTCGATCACTGCCCCCGCCTCGGTTCTGTTCAGATACTTACCGAGAAAAAGAGAGGTTCCAGCTGGAAGAACTGAACTAGACATCATGAAGGGATGTCTTTACAACTGCGGTGCGGAGGACGAATACGAGATAACATTTCTTATCGAAGAGTGTTCACTTCATATGATTTATTTTGTCCACAGGTAGACGGAGCAAACGCTCTCACAAACATGGCAAAAGCTCTGGCTACAACGTTTAAAAGCGTGCGGGCAGACAACATCACTAAGAACATTCTGACTGGGCTAAACTTTGTACTGGATGCTGCAGTAGCTACAAGCAGTGAAATTAAACGCGAACAAGGTTCAAGTGAAATCAGGGACTGGATCGATGATAGTAACGAGGCGAGAAACAAAGATCATCAGGAAAAGGTGACCATTTGGAGCATTTCTAGGAGGCCAGTATGGTCTGATACACTAGCAATTCTAAAACGTCGCTGCTAATACAAGATCATACGTACACACAAGCGATCCCGCTCTCTCGACGACATGGAGCACAAGCTTGCGCGCTAACAAAATCCTGGATGTTGCCACAAATATACTACATTTTTAATGGCAACCTTAATGCAACAATTATTTCTTGGGACATTTTCCTTGTAATTCACTAAAACCCCGTGCAAACGGACGCAAAATTGTTGCCAAAAACTCCCAGCATTCTTGGATGTGGCATGTTGCGTCCGTTTGCACACCTTGTTGCATGTTGTTGCGTGTCGTTGGGGGTTGTTGCACAAAGTGTGAAACCGGTCAAACTTTTGAGCCAAAAGCTCCCAACATTTCTTTTGTTCCGTGATCGCCAAAGCATAGCGTAACAACGGTGGATCCGTTTGCACAGCTCTTCCAACATTGTTGGGGCCACGCACACGAATTACACATGGTCTACAAAGTCTTATGGGTTGTACCCTCCCTACGATTCACTGCAGGTCCCACCTACGATTCACAGCAGGTCCCAACATTGATGGGAGTTGTCGCATCCGTTTGCACACCACTGCCAACACGGATGCAGTTGATTTTCCAACCGCAATCTTAGGTTTCTCATGTAAATGTTACCTACATTGGTCAGATTGGAGAGATGGACGCTCTGCTTGTTTACCATTTACATGTGCAAACTAGTGAATTCATGGCATAGCGGAATCGTTTTTACCATTTGCACAAATCAGTCCCTTTTACCAAAAAACGGCTGCGAAAGTCTGAAACTCGTATCACCAGTTTCAGCCTTTAACTAATATTACTAGTTTCATAAAAAAGAACGCGAATTTCGTTGGGAATATTCCGTCCAGAAATACAAGAATACCGTTTCAGATGTTCCGTTGTTCCCGGAAATTTTACACTGGAATGACACGAAAAGCTGTGTTCCATTTACTTTTCCTTCCGGAAGCTTTTGTTAATCGCAAACAACCTTTGTGTCTTGATTTTCATTAATATTTAGTGTGAAAGAGCAACCAACAAATCCCTGGAAGGCATCAACTATTCAGCTCAGAAACTCTTGGAGTATCAGCGAAAAGGAGACCCTCCACTTCACGAGAAATCAGGCCTTATGAAGTTAACAGTTACAAGCCAGTCCCCCAGTAACATTAGCGCCGCGGCCTTAGATGGAGGAAAGGTTACCTTTCGATTACCAACAGAAGTGACAAAAAATAAACTTGATTGGTTAGACGCAGTGAATACAAAGGTTGGTTTGTATATATTCAGTAAGTTTTAAACATGATAATACCATTATTTTATGACGCAGACACGGATGCAGTTTTCGGCAACCGACCTGAAAAATTTTACTCATCGCACCACAGGAGAAACAAGTATTGAGAAGCCTTGCACATACACGCGAAAAACAGCAGTTGACGATTTAGTATTTTTATATAACTCGACTTTACACTTAGGAACGTGAGAAAAGACTTGTCATAACCAAAGGGGGACAAATTTGGCCAAGTCTCTAAGCCTTAGCCTGAGAAAACAGCCGACATTACGCGACGCAACCTACGGTTTCCTTCGCAAAATGGCCTCCAAGGAACGAGCACAGAAATTGCATGCTAATGGCGTTTAACTTCCCAGAGCCGGGTAGTTCTTCTGATTGGTTGAAGTAAATTTCCCTCGCGACTCGCCCACCAGAAGCACCAGCCAGACTTGGGCAGTTATACGTCATCAGCATGGAATTTGTGCGCTCGTTTCTCAGACGTCATTTCGCGGGGAAAATAGTGGCGGCGTCACGAAATATCGGCTGTTTTCCCATTTCTCAGGTTTGGCAAGGCTTGGATTACACACCCTTGCCCTTCTTTATCTCCCACTCAAGCCTCGGAATATCTGAAGAATCTTAAAAGTAACCTAACCTTCTCTTAATCCTAGGTTGTAACTATGTCCCAGTCTCCGTTTGTAGCAAACGACGTGATACCCGTGACATCACCTGTCTCAACGCTCGAGCTCTTGGACGTTTCTGGGAAGGAAATACAAATCCGGAACCTTACTGAACCAGTCTCGATATTTCTATCATTGAACGAATCAGAAAATAGGAATCCAGATAATATAAGAGGGATTGTTCGTCCCAATGAGAATATGACGTTCTTCAAAATTACACTTGACAAAGAGTTCTCCCTCTATTTACAATTTCGTTGCTCTGGGATGATGGATGCTGGAGAAGAGATGACAGTAATGGGAAAGAAAAACGCAACGCCAAGCAACAAAAATTTTGATGTGTTGTGGCCTATCCGTTCATGTAACACAACTGTAGAGAAACTTTTATCTGGCAGTTATTTGAATACTGCAGGAGAATTTTATCTCGGTGTGAAATTATCGGATGCAGGTAACGTAACTAATGGGACAGAGATGACAAGTAAAATAGAGTTCAACATATCAGTGAGGTCTGTTGGTTGTTATTACTGGAATGAATCCATGCAAGCATGGACAGCAAACGGTTGCAAGGTACGAAAGACATACTAGTAACATGACAAGTGACTCAAAGTTGGGGGAGATTAGGCGTCAGCTTTTGGCGCTGATAAGTCTGATATTGTTTAGCCTGCCATGATGAGTTTTGAATGAATTTAGATTTGTACCATCGACTAATTACAATGGATCCTAAAAGTTTCTCGAGATTTTGGAGAGATGTTGGTGAGCCTCAATAAACGGGAACGAAAGTTAATTCGTTTTTAGGAGGGATTAGCATGATCCATTAGCACTTGTGCATACATGAAACCTTTAAGCAAACTGATCCTCAAATTTTCTTAGCCTGCAAATACAGCCGCCTCTCATCGCCCTGGGGACGAGGTTGATCGAGGTTGATCGCTCCCCGATGCTGGGGCACGTTTCGCGAATCTCCCATCAACAGGGAGCAGTAAACCTCTTCCCTAGCGCGATGAGAAGCGACTGTATTCGCAGGCTAAACTTAAAAATCTGCAAGAGAAATGACATCTTAGCACGCATATATTGTATTTTGTAATGAGGTACCTGAATGAACCGGTTTCATGATTATTTCTACATGACCAGGTTGGTCCATCGACCACATTAAAGCGCATTCAGTGTCAGTGTAACCACTTGACCTGGTTTGGCAGTCGCTTGTTTGTGCCTCCCAATGAATTGCACCTGGATATCATAGCTGTCAAGATAAAAGACCCGTCAAATTTCGCCTTAGTCCTGGCAGTGCTCTGTACTACATGTGGCCTGTACGTAATTGCCATTGTCTGGGCTCGACGTCAGGATCGAAAAGACGTGCAAAAGGTAATTCGTCAGGATATCTAATCGATGGGGGTGGGGAGGGGGGGGAGGTGGGAGGTGGGCAGGAGTTTAGGGCCTCCCGAACCTCCATTAGCATTTTTCTTCAGCTCCTGTGTGTCATGCCCCTCTTCCCCTTCCCCGACCACCACCACCACCCATAGAGTGCAGTACTTGTTTTTACGGCTCTGTGAATTGTGTACATCGACAAACCATTTTAGTACCCATAGGGAAAACTGACTGAGGGAGTGAACGGGAAACTGTTATTATTGTCACCAGAAACTTGGGAACCAGTGTGTTAGCAAGAGAGGCCATTTGAGCATTTTTCAGTTCACTTTGAAAACAATGGACTGCTCGTATGGTACAAAAGATAAAATAGTTGATTTAATTGTAGCAGAGGTACACCATGCTTGAATCTGTATTAGATACAGCAGTAATACCATTTCGATTTACAACTGAAAAAAAGAGATTACAACCCAAACTGTAAATGCAAAACGTTATGTTAGAAACTTAATCTGATCGCTTAACGCGTGCAGTCTTCTTGACAAAACAGCACAATCAGTCACCTCTAGATAACTTTATTTCTTAAATATTAGAGACGATCTCAAAAAAGATGGGCGGTACGAAATCTCGGTTGGAAAACTGAATGGTGCTTAACTTAAAGTTTACACCAGTGTCTTTCCAATACCTGGAACAAAAATAACTCCATTAGCATTTTATTATCCATAGAATTGACCACTTATTTTTTCAGTGAAGGATTGGCGGCTAGGCGAATTTTGCAATATATATTTTTCTTTTTCCTTATTCAGATAGGAACGACCGTGAGTCCAAGTAACCGACCAGAAGATACGCACGCTTATGAGGTCATCATCAGTACTGGTATGCGCAGACATGCTGGAACATCTGCTAATGTTTCTATGCTAATGACAGGAGAACGCGGTGAGAGTCACGCGTTTCTCCTCAAAAACAGCCAATGTATGACTCTTGCTCGGAGCAGCGTCAATTCCTTTCTCGTGACAACTTCGGAAACTCTCGGCGAGCTCTCGTACATCCGATTGTGGCACGATAACTTCGGAGGTGACCCATCTTGGTACGTGAAACAGATATCTATTCGTGAGATTTCTAGCGATAGAGTCTGGCACTTCTTATGCGAACACTGGCTTGCTGTTGACGAAGGCGATGGCTTAATAGACAGGATATTTCCAGTAGCAAGCGACGAGGAGATGAAAGAATTTCGACGCATGTTTGTGACAAAAGCATACAAGGACCTAACGGACTCCCATCTTTGGTTCTCGGTAGTCTGCAGGCCTCCACAGTCTCCTTTTACAAGGGTGCAGCGCGTGTCTTGCTGTTTCTCTCTTCTTTTGTGCACCATGATGGCTAACGCCATGTGGTATGAAGCTGACAAAGGTCGTTATACAGCAGTTAAAGTAGGAACGTTAGAATTTTCTTGGGAGCAAGTCTCCATTGGCATTTGCAGCAGTCTGATTGTTTTTCCCATTAATCTTATTCTCGTACAAGTTTTCAGACACTGTAGTCCGCGACCACCGCAAAAAAACTGTCGCAAACAAAGAGAACACAAATCGTCCACCGCCACCGAGATAAGTATGGTTAAATTTGAATCTGGGCAAAGTTCTATACATGGTCACTACTGCCCAGCTGGTGTTTACCGAAAATTGAATATTGTGTCTCCCAGTGAATCTATAGAATCACTTTCTGGAAAACAGAAATTCAATCAGACGTCTGCCATGCGCTCAATTCATTTTCAGCCCCTTTTCGTCTCTTTAGGAGCCGGCCCCATGAATGATTCAACCAATGATGTTACATCCTTACTTTTACGGGAAAACGTCTCGGGGAAATGTTCACCCGTAGAGGCCCCTGAGAGATCAAATACTATGCAGGATAAACAGTTTTCAAATGGACGGAGACTACCTTGGTGGTTTGTATATGTTGGTTGGGCGTTGGTGACCATAACATCGTTGACGGCTGCGTCTGTTACTCTTCTGTACGGTATCCAGTTTGGACTAACAAAATCTGCACAGTGGCTGTTATCCATGTTCTTTTCAGTCACTCAAGACATTTTTGTGAGTCAGCCACTCAAGGTGGTCGCCCTTGCGATCTTTTTCGCATATATTTTCAAGAAGCCAAACATAGTCATGTTTTCGACGTCATCATTTCACAGATCGGATGACCAATGGCTGCCGGAAAAACTGGAAGAGGAGCATACAGTTGTCCCTCCCGCAAAAGTGCCATCAGAGGACACTCTCCGGAGGGCCCGGGACAGGGCTGCAAAAGAGCGCGCCATGCACGTTATCGTGCTTGATTTAGGGACCTACCTTGTTTTCACTTTACTCGTTCTTCTCATCGCTTATGGCTTCCGTGATCAGGATGCCTTTCATCAAAATGATGCAGTTGCCAAGGTTATAGTGGATCAAAGCTACATTGAAAAGCCTGATGAATTCAAGAGGAGGACATTTTCTCAGGTAACCTTCTACATATAATTCGACAAAGGGTACTCTTTCCAACCCCATTGAGAGGGGGTCGATGGCAGATGAAAAAAATGCCCCAAACAGAGCTCTAGATAAGGCCAAAAAGAAGATATTGTAAAATAAAGCGGTACTTTACCATTTTACACCTCCTTTATTGAAACTCACAAGAACCTTATTTTGAGGATCACAAGAAATCCCAAAGATAATTTTGAGATTAGACAAAGTGCTTTTACACTGAGGAAAAGGTGCTTTCTTGAAATCCAAGACAGTCTCGGAGTCTGGATTCCACGCCGTGGATTCCGGATTCCACGTAGTGAATTCCGGTCTTTTCCAGTGGAACTTGGATTCGATTGGATTCTAGATTCCAATCGTGTGTGGGATTCCGGATTCTTTGAGCTGTATTCCGGATTGCAAAGCCAACGATTCCGGATTCCGCAAGCAAAATTTTCCTGGATGACGGGAACCCTAACATGGGGTGAATTATCTTTGGGTGAAGTTCTCCGGTTACTGCCTTTTGAGCCTTATTTCCCGATCATATTCCCATTCAGAGTCTCTAAAAGAAAACGGTTGATCTCTCATTGTACCTCTTCACTACAAGCTAAAACAAACTTTCAAATACAGGCTAAATGCCATGTCATTCATACTTCACTCAATTTAGCGCCTCTTTCCTCCTCTTACACAGTTAAGCCGCCAGAGAGACGTATGGAACTGGACTGAGAACATTCTGTTACCCACCCTGTACAATCTGCCCTCCTACATCTACACAAAAAAAGCGCCCAAGTTCATAGAGGGTGAGAGCGGTCTGGTAGTGGGCGTGGCTCGATTTCGACAACACAGGGTAAAGAAGGGTAAGGAGGACACACTATGAATACGTAACATGATCTAACATGACCTTGGCTCTGGAGAGTGCTTAGTGGAAGGTGGAACGAGAAAATGTTTTGTGACTTTTTTAACTCCTCCTAATCCTACCGTGAAAATTTGGTAAGAAGCGGTCTGTCACTTCCGTGTCTGGTCAACTTCGTCCCCAGGGCGCTTTTCCCTGGCTTTAGAGGTGGGGCCCCACATCCAAAGCCAGGCAAAAGGGCCTTGGGGACGAGGCTGGTGTCCGGTACACCAAAATATGTTACTCTTTCTCTGCTTTCACTCGCAAAATATTTTTCAATACTTGTATATCCCGGCGGGCATGAACTTTACTCTCCGTATGTCTCAGACCTCATTTGTTCTTTGACAGTTTGTATTAGCCAGGTTAAATACAATTCACTCTGTTTGTTTCAGATTCTTGCTCAGTGATATCCCAAGTAAGAGACATGTTTTCACGATGCGCTGACGACTACCATATGACGTCAGAAGACGACCAAGCTTACACAGCGGGCTGGGAGACATTGTTCAATACCACTGAGCTTCTTAAACAGACGTCATCACCAGACCCCTGGCGTTACAGTACCTCGAGTGACCTTAACGGCTACCCTTACTCAATGGGAATAGAAACATACTCCGGAGGTGGATATGTGATAGAGTTGTCCCACATTTACTACAAAGCGGTGCGGCAAATGAAAGAGGCAAAATCAAGACTGTGGCTTGACCACTACACTCGTAGCGTTTTCGCAGAGTTCACTTTGTTCAATCCGAACAGCAATCTCTTCTCTGCAGCTACATTTCTAATGGAGAGACTTCCAACGGGCGGCGTATTTCCCAGCGCGGAAGTTCTCTCGTATCGGCTCTACCGCTATGTTGGTGATTTCCAATTATTCATCCTCGCCTGTGAGCTTTTCTTCTTCGTTTTTGTTCTTTACTTCACATACCGTGAAACGAAGAAGATTTACAAAACCCGACGATTTTACTTTGCAGAGGTTTGGAACCTTATGGACTTGACTGTTCTTATTCTGTGCTGGATCGCAATAGCTTATTACTTCATTTGTCTTGGATTAAGGAAATGGACTCTAAACCTTTATCACGAAAACCCTACCAAATTTATTAGTTTTCAGTACATCTCAGCCTGGCAGCTCATGTTCGAGGGCGTGGT